TTGTAATTTTAGAATTTTAAAGAAGAAGATTCACTTGTGGTAAATTTATAACTTGGCTAGGAAATACGCGTTTTTCCAAGGAAAAAAATGGACGGATGTTCATTCAGTGAAAATTCACTTGATTAGTAGAATTGAAACGTCGCATAAGTAAAATCGGTGGAAGAAGACTTTTTAGTCCTAAACTTAGGAATTTACCTGTCGTGGTGATTTGATATAACTGTGTTTTTGAGCCATAATTCGTCTACTTGCCATAATGGGTCCTATCATGGGATCGTCCACGCCGCTAATCCAAACGAGATCCTATCATGATATAAGTACGATCTTAGTTATCACGTTGCCGACAGCTCAATTCAGGTTATTTGTCATCAAAACAATATGGCACCCAAAAACCTTAGCCATCTTTTCGTTCTTAACAATCTTTGTACGTGTAGCCAGTTGCCCGTCTTTAGCCATTTGAAATTATCGCTACGAGTTCTTCGCCGTACTAGTCTTCATGCGTAAGCTGGTAGCAACACCTTGTGGCCATGAGTTAGACTTTCGGAGGCAAGTTCCGAACATTCTACGCTCTTCACGTTTTTGGGCCAAGATATGTCTATTCTCCGTCCTTTTTGTTCAAATTCATGCTTCTGCGCCGCATAACATTGCCGAAGGAATGCATGTGTCAAATCTCCGTTTCCAATTTATATGAACATTGAGATAAAAATTCTGTGTTGATAAGAGCAGGTCCATCCAGCTTGTAAATGAAGTGAAATCTATCTGGTTCGTTCGTGTATTAGGGGGTTATGTCCCAGATAGATATATAATTTCACTCGTTCAAGAAGTACTCCTTTAAGGATAATACAAGCAAGCGCTTCCGCAAGTATTTCAGTTTTCATGAAGTTGATCTTCTTATATAAATTGTTCACAGTGCTCTATCTTAGTAACCGAACGGTTTCAAATCCACAAGCGAAAGCATCCACAAAAGCACCAAACGATTGCTTGCGCTGAAACCGATGACAGTTGGTCTTTGCGCTGCGGCCAGCGTGGCAGAAAGTTGGTAGTTGGAGTGCTTGATTTTATACGTCCGATACCTTTCACTCGCACTTTTGTTAAGGCCAAAAAATCCATTTCATATTCACCTGAATTTTAGTGGAGGAGGTTCTGATTTATTATAGGACTGGTTCTGCGTTCCACTGCCTTCGACCAGTGAATTTTTGTCGCGAGGTCGTTGGGATGAGCCACCAGTCAAATGAAGGGAAGAGGAGCACATATAGCAATCATATTCGAAGGTCAGATTTT